GGAGGAGCAGGAGGAGGAGGAGGAGGAGGACGAGGAGGAAGAGGAGGAGGAGGAGGAGGAGGAGCGCAGCGTAGGAGGGACGTCCTGTCTGACTGTGTAATCTAACCTGATCCGCAACTCACGGAGTGAGTAGAACCGAAACCGAGGGAGGCGACAGCCTCAAAAATATCTAGAGACATACCCCAGGGAGGTGGCCCAGGGAGAGCACGACAAGAATGACCCAGAGCACCGCAAGGAACGGCGACGACCGCAAGTCGGTCAGGCTCAGCATCACGTCTGGCATGCCCAACACCAGGAAGAGCCAGAAGGGCACCGCAGAGAACAGGAACATCGCTAGGCACTTCACGGCGACCAGCGGGCACCATCAATATCAACCCAGCTCCTATCCAAACTCCCATTGTCGTCGAAGAGGTGGCCCGCTCCATCCGAATCTGAGTCAGAAGAGGCACGGCGAAGCTGGTGTGAGCCGCTGCCAGGGCCACCAGCCGCAGGGAGAGGCGCAGGAACAGCACGAGTCCCATCACGTCCCAGCATGGAGAGGACAAGGCGGATGCGGGTCTCTATCAAGTCTGATTCTATGAAAGACGTCATGGTTTTCGCAACGCAATTCGCAATCTGCGACGGGCTGCGCGCAACCATCTCGCTGAGAAGCCCTGCCATCTGTTGCATAGCTTCCTCTTGGCCAGCAGAGGCCGCACGTTGCTCATGAATGGCTTCGTCATGGAAAGCCACCTTCTCAATGGCGCTAGCAAGCGCGGCGAGCTCTTCGCATATGTGATTCACGGAGCACCGCAACATAGATGACTCAGCACATTCAGTTTTATATTTCTGCACGAAGACCGCCGAATCACGAAGGACAGCGATGTCAGCGGAGACGTTGGAGAGCAACACGTGCGCTTCCATCAAAATCCCCTCACGGGTCGCTGACAAGAACTCGTTGGTCTGGGAGACGTGTTTGTCGATGAGCTGCTGGCAATCGTCCCAGAGCGCGGATAGAGGTTGCTCCACCCAGCGCGAGACCGTGGCGGGAGCAGGGTCAACCACACAGCGCTGAACCGTCGCAACGGCATTCTCGAGGTAAGCGCGCTGTGCCTCGGCTCCGTCCTGCACGAGGGTGCGCACACGGGTCACTGTCTCGGATTGGTGGGTGCTCAACGAGAGACGCAAGGCATCCAGCTGCGCCGAGAACTCGTCAAGGCGCGGGACCTTGCACATCCACTCCTCGATCTTCTCACAATGTGTCGCCTGCGACGTGGTGACATCGTCGCGAACGGCATTTATCTGTTCATCGATAGTGTTTTCAAGCGACTCGACGCGGAGAGCAAGAGCCGCGAGGTCGGAATCAGAAACTGACGTCGCCAAGGCGCCAGTGAGAACCTGCATGTCGAAGATTTTCTCGTTCTTGTGCTCAATCGCACGCAAGAGCTGGTCATGTGTATAGCACAACGCGCAAAGCTCGTGGACCACAGGGCAAAGAAATTCAGAAACAGAGTCATTAAGGACACTTGGCACATATGGAGGCAAAACAGAGGGCTCAGAACAGTCGATCATCCCAGAATAATCGGAAGAATCGTTCTCAGTAGCACCAGACCAAGATAAGCGCTCGATCCCGGCCATATCTAAGCCGCTCCCAGACCTCGTATGCCCTCCGTGGGGCTCCGAGCGGAATGCGGCGATGGCTGCCACTTCTGAGCCGCTCCCAGACCTCGTATGCCTAACGGGCTCCGAGCGGTATGCGGCGATGGCACAGACGGGAGGCACGTCGCTGGCAGAGGGAAGAAACTCAGGTGCATCAGCACGGAGACGAGTACGCCGCCATCGTCGTGCACAGATCACCCCATCAGAAGAGAGCGGGGTGCGGGCCTCTTGCTCGAAAACAACGTGGCGCTCTTTACCAGCATTCCGAAACAGGCGTCGAGAAGATCGGTAAACCTGATCTCCAACCATCGGTCTGGCCAAGGTCGCTGCATGGGATGGGTGATGGACATTGTGTTGCAGAACCTCACACAAGAACGCGTGCCGACGAATAGCAGAATGCTGAAGGTAAGAATCAAGTTCACAATACGTCTGCTTTTCCAGCAACCGAATACGAGCAGCTAATAAATTGTACGCCTTACCCATGGACCACGTAGCCGTCCACGAAAACAAATGGCAGGGCAATCAACCTCACAAGCGCACAATGCAGACAGAAACGACTACGGGGAGCTCATGCCGGCTTGAGAGAAACTGGCTTGAGCTAAAATGGCTTCGGAGGAGGAGGAGGAGGAGGAGGAGCAGGAGCAGGAGGAGGAGGGGGAGGAGGAGGAGGAGGAGGAGGAGGAGGAGGAGGAGGAGGAGGAGGAGGAGGAGGAGGCGCTAGGAGCAGGAGGAGGAGGGGGGGGGAGAGAGGAGGTGGAGGGGGGAGGAGGAGGAGGAGGAGGAGAGGAGGAGGAGGAGGAGGAGGAGGAGCAGGAGCAGTGAGGAGGGAGGAGGAGCAGGAGCAGGAGGAGGAGCAGGAGCAGGAGGAGGAGAGGAGGGAGGATGGGGGAGGAGGAGGAGGAGGAGGAGGAGGAGGAGGAGGAGGAGGAGGAGGAGGAGGAGGAGGAGGAGAGAAGAGGAGAAGTCGACGTGGGAAGGGGCCTGCTGGGGCAGCGGCCCAGGCCTCCGGAGCCCACACGTCGACCCAAGTGGAGCGGCCGGGTGTGCGGGGAGGGGCCCCCGAGAGCTGCGGCCGGAGCGCGGCCGCCCGAGCGCGGGTCGAGAGCACGGGCACGAGCCCCTCCGAACCCGAGCGTGGAGAGCGCCCCAGGCGAAGAGCACGCGAAGGTTTAGGTCAGGCATGTCCCCCTACAGGCGGCTTTTGGACACATGTGTATACATATATATATATATATATATATATAATTTCCCCAGGTATCAAACAATTATCAAACATACTCCAAACATCGTCCCCAGACTATCTTTTGGCTATTTTTGGATCTGCCTCCTGTATGGGGGACACGCCCGACTGAACCCAAGGTGGAAGGCCCCAAGACGAAGCGCACAAGAGCACCCTGCCGAATCCAGGGAGGTTCTTCAACCTCCTGCTGGCCATATCCCCCGACCACTCCCAGACCTCCAGAACCACGGAGGCTCGACAGGAGCTCCCTGGGACCACATGGGAGCCCCCCACTTGCCTCACGCGAAAAGCACGCTGCCGGCATGGCAAACCGACCCGTCGCCCCGAACGAAGGCGCCAGCCGGGCCAAGAGCATGGATGCGACAGCTGCGGGCCTCCCCAACGCAGTGTCCCAACCAGCACTGCAATCCGAATCCCGACCCGTCCCGGAGTGGACAAATCCGAGCGGCTGCGAGTCGTGGGGCAGTCGGAGGCAGTCATAAGGATGCCAAGGAAGGATGTCGGGCCGCTGGGCGTCCAAGCTGCAGCGACTGGCCAGCGAAATGGGCTGGCCAAGACCATAGCACCTCATGCTGATGGGGTGCGCCAACTGGGGGAAGAGGAAGTTCGGACACGAATGCAGCCGCGGCGACGGGGGCCGCCCTCAAGGAAAGCCCAAAACTGCACCACGCGAAATGGTTAAGAAATCATGGGTTAAGAAATTCATGGTCTCAGAACTTGAATAAAAACCGCAAATTTCTATCAACATCTTAGGATTTACATTCAAACGTTAAGAATAATCGAGACTCTGGCCGAAAACTTAAGATTTCTTAAGCATCGCCTACGGTGTACGAACGAACAACACAAACACACACACACACCCATACTCATAGGGGGGGCGGCGGGGGCTACGGGCGAGCGTGGTCGACCGGGGGTGCCCGCTCGCACGAGCGCCTCCCCCGGAATCCGGCAACCACCGCTCCTTGTTGATACGAACCCCCTCCCCCACCCGACTGTGGGCCAACCTGGGACCCCCCCCCCCCACCCCACACCATCCTTTTCAAACACACAATACACCCTGCGAGATGCTTAAGAAATCATGGGTTGAGAAATTCATAGTCTCAGAACTTGAATAAAAGCCCAACATCTCTATTCAAATCTTAGGATTTACGTTGAAACATTAAGAATAATCGAGACTCTGGCTGAAAATTGAAGTTTTCTTAAGCATCGCCTAAGGTGTAGCATGCGTGGCGCTCCCAAGCAATGTGCTGAGACTCCCTCGGGTGTCACCGATGTGTTGGGAGGGCGGGTGGGAGTGAGCGAGACTGCCTGCGGGCGAAGGGGGGGGCCTCGACCCGCCGCCGGTCCTCCCCCCTCCGACGCTCGTATGGGTACTGGTGTGTGTGTGTGTGTGTGTTGCCCGCTCGTCTTACAAGGGGCTGCAACGGCACGGGGCGATTGATGTCGGCGAGGCGCTCACGCCGCAGAGCTCGGTCAGAACCCCCCCCCCCCCCAGGGGTTCATCTTGCGGCGCGCTGCTCGAGCCGCGCCCGGCCGAGGCAAGGCGAGAACCGCCCGGCACGCCCCCCCGAGGCCTCCCAGAAACGAGTGCGCCGCCGCCGCCGCCGTCGGGCTGGAAGTGCCCCTGGCCCAGGGCGCCCCCGGGAGTCCCACGGAGGCCCCCCACGGCCTCCCCAGACCCCCGACGTAATGATTTTTTCATTACGTCGACCCCCAAAGGTCCCGACCCTGTCCCCATGACCGGCTTTGCATCCTGAGTCGTGTTTTGCCGCTCCCGAGGCCCGGTGAGGGCCCCCGGAGGCCGAAAATGAGGACAAACCTCCCGTCATGACTCTTTCGTTGCTCGAGGGGGTCTGGGTCCAGAGCACCCCTCGCGAGGCCCAGGTGGCGCCCCCAGGGGCTCCAAAGTGGAGCGCCAGGCTCGGGGTACCCTTTGGGCCATGGGGGCACCGCCAACACCACCCCCGACTCCGGCCAGCTGCAGCAGCCCGCTCGGCGCCGGGGCTCCGCCCGCGGGCCTTCACCTCGCGCGTCTGCCTCCGCGTGAGGTTGTACGGCCCGGGGAAGATGTACGGGGGCAGCTGGGCCTCGACCCGCTGCATCTGGTACCGCCTCGGGGGCGGGACGGGGGGGAGGAGGGGCGAGGATCCTCCGAGGGCGCTTTCGCCGCCCACGCGCGCGTGCCCACCGAAGCCCCTCAGCCTGACGCGGGCGCTGCAGCGGTGGCGACGAGGGCCTCCCAGGAGGCCCAAGACGGGGGAAGCGGGCGAAGGATAGCGGTATGGGTACTTCGGCCTCCTCTGAGCCCGGGAAGCCGGCGACAGTCCCGGGGCTCGCGGAGCGCCCCGAGGGAAACCTGAAACGGCGAAAAACCGCGGGCCTCTGGCACCTGGCACCCGGGCATCTTGTACACGTGCACGTCTGGCAGAAGGCGACTGAAGTGAGGAGGAGCTACCGTGTGCTTCCTTGCCACCACTGCAGCACTGATACTCTCGCCCTCGCGGGCTTCTCTACTTGTCCTTGTTTCTTCCTTCGCACCTTCTGCGCCGCTCACTCTGCACCAGGGTGATGAGCATTCTTCTGATTCTATCAGACGCCCACTGAGGTTTTTGTTGCGGAGGTCGTTCCAACGCTACTCGAGCCCCGTTGCTCAGAGACTGGCCATCGCAAGGAGGCGAGGGGAAAACAACATCAACGACGACGGTTCCAATCATCAGCATGATCCGCACGAGGGAGCAGCGTTCTGTTGGCGGCGCGCAGAAGGGGGTTTAGTTATGGGGGAGGGGGATCGGCTTCTTAGAAGCACCCTGCTTCTGAGAAGGCTCTGGCCGTACATCCATCGAATAAGGCCCGCGCCTTCTAAGAAGCGGGGGTGCTTCGAAGAAATCTTCCCCCTCCCCCTACCCCCCTCTGCCGTGGCCGAGTTTGGCCCACGGTACCTCTCCCTTCCTGCCGACCGCCCCTACCAACCGCATGCCTCCGGCCTCTCTCCGCCTCAACCCCTTCTTTTATTCACAGGGGGTAACGCGTGTTACGTGTTACCCCAGGGGGGGGTAACGGTAACGGCATCCGCGGAGCTCACGTGCCAATGTGGGTCCGAAACACAAGTACATAAATCGCCTATGTGCACCACAATCCATGTGCACACGACAATGCACAATACACAGCGCCGCCTGCGTACACCACAGTGCCTCCGTACACCAAAGCAGCCGCGCGCACCACAGCAACACGCGCCTGTGTACACCACAGTGCCTGTGTACACTGCGGCAGCCGCGTGCGCGACAGCGCCTGTGTACACCACGGTGCCTGCGTGCACCAGAATGCTTGCGAACACCACAGCGACCATGTGTACAACAGTGCCTGTGCACACCACGTTACCTCCGTGCACCACAACGCCTGGGTGTGCGCCACAACGCCAAACGTGCCAGCGGGCACATTGGTAGCTTGAAAACACTACGTTGCGCTTGTGAGCGCCACAGTGCGCCGTTCACCTCCTCCTCCTCCTCCTCCTCCACCTCCTCGACCTTCACCTCCTCCTCCTCCTCCCCCCTCTCTTCCTCCTCGCCCCGTCGTCGCCGCCAGACCCATCGGGCACCGACCGGGAACGACCCACTGCGACACCGAGGGCTCGCTCGCTCCTGCGGGCCCCTCCTCCTGCCCCTGCTGGTTCCCCTCCTCCTCCTCCTCCTCCTCCTCCTCCTCCTCCTCCTCCTTTTCTGCCTCTTCGCGGGGCTAGCCGCACCGCAAACTCCGGAGGCCCTCGGGGCTCGTCCCGTCCTTCCGGGCTCTCTCGCGGGGGAGTCCTCAGCGATGGCCGTGCTCTGCCAATCACTGTGCTACACCGCAGCGCTTCTGCGTACACCGCAGCAGCCGCGTGTACACCGCAGTGCGCTGACCCTGCGTGGACGTCGATGCCTGCCTGCCCCAGAGCGCCTGTATACTCCTTATAATGCCCTTTGGAAGCTGCGAAGAATCACGCTTGTGCCCGGTTTGCAAGCGTTACCGTTACGGGGGAGGGAGGGGGTGTGGGTGTCTGGGGGGGGAGGGGGGGGGTAACACGCGTTGCCCCAGGGGGATTAAAGGAGGACAGCAGGCAGGAGTCTGCCTGGCGCCGCCCCGTGGAGCCAACTGCGGGCGGCAGCGCCATCCGTTCGGGGATCTTCTGACCCGGGTCAATCCAGACCCGGGTCAGCGGGAAACCAAAAACCTGCAATGCAGGAAAGAAAAACTGCAACGCAGGTCTTCGCAAACCCGGGTCAGCCAATGTGCGCGGCCGCCTCGCGGCCGCCTCGCGGCCACGAGCGGCTCGCTGACCGGGGTCAGCCAGAGGGGGTCTTCGCAGGATCCTGCAGGATCCGGCGCCCTGGCTGACCCCCGTTTGCACTGACCCCCGTCTCTTAGGCCCCGATCCGTGGCTGGGAGATGTGGCCCGGGCCCGAGAAGAATCGAGACTGAGATGGCCAGGGTGCGCGACAAAGCAGACGTCAGGCCCCTCGGACGCCCACGCCGAAACCCCCGTCTCTTAGGCCCCGATCCGTGGCTGGGAGATGTGGCCCGGGCCCGAGAAGAATCGAGACTGAGATGGCCAGGAGGCGCGACAACGCAGACGTCCGGCCCCTCGGACGCCCCCGCCGAAGCCTCTCGAGGGGGGCCGGCCGTGGAGAGCGGTTCCGGACGGGCCCAGGCCGCAAGGATAGGAGGAGGAGGAGGACGAGGAGGAGAGGGAGGAGGAGAGGGAGGAGGAGAAGGAGGAGGAGAGGGAGGAGGAGGAGGAGGTGAGGAGGTCGAGGAGGAGGAGGAGGAGGAGGAGGAGGAGGAGGAGGAGGAGGAGGAGGAGGAGGAGGAGGAGGAGGAGGAGGAGGAGGAGAGGAGGGAGGAGGAGGAGGAGGAGGAGGAGGAGGAGGGAGGAGGAGGAGGAGGAGGAGGAGGAGGAGGAGGAGGAGGAGGAGGAGGAGGAGGAGGAGGAGGAGGAGGAGGAGGAGGTGGAGGAGGAGAAAGGTACCCTTGGGAAGGCTACCCGCCCTTCCTGTCGGCTCCGACGGTGCGGAGCGCGCCCCGCGCCCACTGGCGAGGGCAACAAAAGCGGACACGTGCGCGCGCTCGGAGCCACAGCTCCGTGCTGGCGCGTCGGCCTGGGGCGGCCGCCGGCGGACTTCCGCGCCTGTCTCTTCTCCGCGGCCCTCGGAGGGTCCTCGGCGGTGGACGAGTCTCCCTTTAGCAGACCTCCCCTTGCCAACCACAATCGCCAGCAAGAGCGGCAGGCGAGCATATGCTCCATCCTATGCGCAGCCGCGTGAGGACGGCAGAAGCGGTCGGACCCGCGGCTTCAGCCCGCGCAGGCCGGCGTCGCAAGCGATCGCGAACGCACTCGTCCCAGGCTCCCCTTAGTGGAAACGGCCTGGGGCCGAAACCGACGGACCTGGGCACGCAGAACATGACTTCCTCGACGTCCTCTCGCGAGCCGAAGACGGCCAATTCACGGATCGGCGCGTCAAGGCAGGAGGTCTGTCCACCCCCGAGGGTCCTCGCCGGTCTTCCGCGCCGGGGCTGGGTGGTCGCGTGCAGCAAGGGGGGCATGATCGAAGACCCGGGAGAACCGGAGGAACGAGGGGGCAGAGGAGAACGGGAGCGGGGAGGGGAGGGCGGCCCCACCTCCGGAGATTCTTCAGCTCGGCGCGGATCTTGGGCTCCAGCGACATGATGCCTGGCAGTGGGGGTGCAACTGCACTCTCCGTCCGCTCACCCTTGCCAGACTTCTCGCTCTCTGGTTCTTCGGCTAAGTTCAATAACCAGTCGAGAGAAGATGTGCCTCACGTCTGGATGATGGCCGAAATTCTGAGCCACTAGCCGACCTTCGCCATCATCTGTATCCATCCTGGCTGCTGGCACTACTGGTTGCTTGCTTTCTGATGCACCCTCTTTCTGCACCGCGCTGAGGAGGCCCCCCCATTGGAATGCCTGGCCGCTGCGGCGTGTGGAATCTCCACAGCATTCGCTTGCCCTGGGAGTACTTCGAACGCTGAAAATAATGCCACATGTGTCGGTAATTCCTGAAGGCGGGATACGCAAGCATGGCAATAGAACCAAGCGGAGAAGGCACGACCAAGGAAACGAACATGACCCACATGACCCACAGCACTTCGAGTTGCAGCATACTGACTGTGATGCTGCAAACGAGATGCGGATGCTGCAACAAAAGCAACAACTGCGCGTGAACTGATTGTGCCTGAAGGCTTGCGTGGCACACGCGGCTCCTTGTCGACGGGCGCGGGTCAACCTTTGGACTGCGAGGCTGCAGAGCTCGCACAACTCGTACATTCAATACCTTTACATCACCCCCAACGGACAAGACAAACATCAACAACAAAGGTCTCGCATATCATTACCGTTCGGTGCCGTTTTCTAGTTATACGGACGAATGGGCAGACAGATGGAATCGTATGGACTGATGGATGGATGGATGGTGGTATAGATGAACACATGAATGAGCGCGCACAACATGATCTGGGGCAAAATCGAGCAACACAGCAAGTCGTGCTAACATACATAGCGGATCACACTACGAAGGTCCGCATGGCGGTAAGTGCCAAATGCCGCACATGGAGCACAGTCGGAATGCACAAAGTGACTGGACATCGGAAGGCACAAAATGACTGAATATCGTCCAGCGCAGTCTGTATGAAGGCTTGGTCACAACACCCTGCGGGCAGGATGAGTAACCAAACCCATCAAATCAAGGGAACAGGCCTGCCAGTCCTCACTACCGTCGTCAGCGCACCTTGCAATCGCAGCGTGCCACGCACAATCTCGAAGCTACACGTGTAGTGCCACTCGGCGCAGCGAGAGACAACACCGACAGAACCACGGGGAAACGACACGAGAGGCACGCGCGCGCGTCGCCAGGGGGCCTCGCGCCCGCCCAGCGCGGCCCATGGACTGGCCACACGTCACGCCGCGCGCCGCCCAGGGGGGGGCTCATGCAAACAGCTGGCCGACTCTGCAGCAACTGAACCTGAATAGAGAATTGGACGCCCGAATTATCCGGGGTAACTCGGGCCCGGGGCAACTCGGGTTCGGATTCCCGAGAAACGAGCCCGAGTTAGCCCTGACCCGAGTTACCCCTGATGATTCGGGGCTCTGAGAGAATGCCATCTCTTCGGGGTGGGGGCGGTGCTTGCTTCCGCCGGCTTCCACCTGGCCTGCCGCTGGCGGAGCCGCCTTCGTGTTCCTTCCGCCGCCCTTCGCCAGCCTTCCGCCGACGAAGAGACTCGGGCGGGTGGCAAGAGGGGGGGGGGGGACCCAAATAGCGGGGTGAAAAGATGGGCCCCACAGGGGCTCTTCAGGGCTCCAATTCGGGCACCAACTGGCTCCAAAAGGGGCCCTAAAGTGCCCCTTCAGGGCCCATGTCTTCACCCCCCATTTGCGCCACCCCCCATTACCACCCACCCGAGAGACGTCAAACTCTCACCTCTCGATTCCTGGACGGCCAGGCCTCCTTGGAACGCCGCATGTGTGTCCTCGCGGGTGGCTCATGCAAATGCCTGAAGCGCCCCTCGAAGGTCCCGGCGGGAGGAGGGCGGCGAGGCTGCACACACCACGCCTCGCCGGGCACCGCCGAGGGACTTCCCATCAGTCGGGGATGGACAGACCCCCCTTCAGTAAAACGTGGTTTGGTGAGAACGACCTGAGGCCCGGACCTGGCGGGCGCGAGCCTGGAAAGTAACGGCCACGGCGCCCTCTCGAGAACCGAGAACGGACAATGCACTAGTCGACGTGTCACTGTTGGGGGCTTCGGCCTCCCGCGGGACCCGCTGCAGAAGCAAATGGGGTGCCCTCCCCGGACCCACCGGCACGGAGGCCGCAGGGCACGGCAGGCAGAAAGGGGCGCACCGGGCGTGCCCCTCGCCAACACCACAGGGAGGGCGAAGGAGCAGGAAGGGAGCCTGGCCTCCCATGGACGCCCACTTGCCAGGAAGGGAGCCTGGACTCCCATGAACAGGAAGGGAGCCCAGGAAGGGAGCAAGGGCTCGCCATCGCTTGGACGTCCATTCCCTGCGCATGTTGTCGGTTTCGGGCGTGAATTTTTTCCGCCGCGTGAGCACAAAGGCTCCTCGATGTCCCCTGCCGAAAAAAAAGAAGCACACGTCCGAGCGATGCCAAGGATAGGAAGGGAGCCTGGACTCCCATGTACGCCCGCATACACTGGCCATCGAACGAGCTCAGCAACACGATAAAAGCCGCGAGTCGGCCAACAACCATCGCCATGAGTGCGGAGGCTGTGAGGGCAGTTCGGTGTGGCTCGCTCGTGCCTTGTGACACCGACGCAGCGGTCTGGTGCTGTATTGATGGGTGGCGCACAGATAAAGGACGTGGCCACGCAGTCGCAAAGCTGGCGCCTGCTTGCAGAGCGCAAAACCCGGCACGGACCTCCCTCACTCCCAGTGCGGACGACGACGCAAGACAGAGCGCAAACTGTACCCCGAACAGGCCCTCCTCATCCAGTGGACGGGAGAGCCTGGCCCTTAGCCAACGCCGAGCACCCCTCCGCGCGGACAGGCGCCGCAAGACGGTGGAATGCTTGGGCTGCGCACGCACGCAGCTCAGCCTGGCCGCGCCCCTCGCCCCGGAGGAAGGTCGGCACCATCAACCTGCAGTTGTCCCGGGATCCGGTTCCCCAGGGGCGATTCGGCCACGGCCGCCTCGCGGCCGTCCAGCTCGGCAGGGGGCCTCGGCGAGCACCCTCGCGCTCGCCGGCGGGCGGAGCATCGGCGCTGGGCGCAGCCCACCGTTTTGATGGAGACACGCACGGAAGCGCCCACTCGGGCAGGGCGTCGGTGTGCCTCCCCCCGCACGGCGCGGTGGGGAGCGAACGCGGGGCAGCAGAAGGTCCCGTCTGATCGGTGGCCATCGCAGTCTGCACTCTACTTACCTCGCTGCCGCCGCACTGTCGGGGCATGGTCGTGCCATGGTCGCTGACTGCGTTCGTGGCCAGCCCGTCGGCCACGCTGCCGATGTCTTCCAACAGACACCACGGAAATGGCGACAACTCCTCCTCATCATTCTCCACCTCCTCCTTGTCCTCCGCTCCGTCCTCTTCCCTCCTGCCTCTCGTCGTCGTCATCGTGGTTTGCCTTCTCATCCTCGTCGTCCTCCTCCTCGTCGTCCTCCTCCTTCTCCTCCTCCTCCTCCTCCATGCTTTCTTCTTCTAAACAACTCGTCCCCGTCGCACCCCCAGACGTGTCTGTAGGGCGGGCAGGGCGTTTCGCCTGAGACTTCGTCACACATTAAGATTACACTGAAGCTTGACATTTGTAACAACTTCGAGGCTGTAGGACTGATGCTTCCCCAATCAGTACTTGCACTGAAGGGGTCCCAGCGGAAGTTGAATAGATTTGTCGACGAAAATGCTGGGCCGATGTCGGTGGGCGGCTGGGTTCCAGGGTTCCCGGCTTCAGGTTACTGGGTTCTTGTTCGGTTCCGATTCTGGTGGTCTGCGGGGTTCCTCGGGTTCCAGTTTCGGGTTCCTAGGTTCCCAGGTTCCCGGTCGATCTTACTATTGATCATATCATCGATCTCACCATCCATCACACCCAGCCGATCCCACTATCGATCTCACTACCCATCTCATTCAATTGAAATCGTTATCGATCGAACCATCCATCTCACTTTCGACTTCTCTATCGATCTGACTATCGATCTTACTAGCCCGATATCGGTGGGCGGCGGGGTTCCCGGGGTTCCAGTTTCGGGTTCCCGAGTTCCTGGATTCCCTGTCGATCTGTCTACCAATCTGACAATCGATCACACGATCGATCTGACTACCGATCTCACTATCGATCTCACGATCCATGTCACCCAATCCATCTCATGATCGATATCAGTATTGATTTGCCTGTCGATTTCACTGTCGATCTTACTATCGATGTCAGAATGCATGTCACTCAATCGATCCCACTATCGGTATCACTATCGATCACACGGTCGATCTCACGATCGAACTCACTAGCGATCTCCATAGCGATATAGCTCAATCGATCTCACTATTGATCTCGCTATCAAACTTACTATCGAACTCATTATCGATCTCGCTATCGATCTCACTATCGATCTCAATCAGTCGATCTCACTACAAGTTCCACTATAGATCACACGATCGATCTCACGTTCGATCTCACTCAATGGATTTCACTGTCGATCTCACTATCGATCTCACTATCGATAGCACGGAATGGCTATCGATAGCGCCACGGGACACCGCTGGGGACAGCGGCTTCGCCCTGGCAGCGGCGGGTTCATTCCTCTTGCCCGCCCAAGCAGCTTCGCCTCGCCCGCACGCGCGACACGGAGACAACACTGAAACCGATGTCCCAGTGGGGGGGGGTCTCCGTATTACTGCGATCTCCCCCCCCAACCTCCGATATATATATATATAGAGAGAGAGAGAGAGAGAAATCAAAAAAAGAGAAATACACAAAGAGAGAGAGAGAGAGAGGGAGAGAGGGAGAGAGAGAGATAACCAACCAACTATGATACATAATGGAATGCGAATGGGAGAGGCAGAGTAGAGAGACGCTTATGCATATAAAGCAATATAGCTAGTGGCACAGACGTAGATATATATGATCGAGAGAAGGACAGAGAGCGAGAGGAACGCGTAATACTACACTGGGCTGCAATGTACATTCGAACTCGATTAAGGCGGGAGGACGGCTGACCGAGGCACGTGCGAAACATTCCGAACCCCCCTGATTGGGATGTTCTCTGGTGTGATTTACAACAAGGTGGTGGCTCTTGCCTTCGCGTCGCGCACATTGGTCTTAACATTTGCACCATATTCAAGCATAACAGGAGGTTCCCTTTCAAAATGTCGCTCTCTCCTTAGCGCCGCGCACAATCGTCCTAAAGGTCTGCAGCAAGTGAAGGATGTAGGGCAAGCTTATTGTTTGAAATGCGGCTCTTGCCTAGGCGCCGCGCAAACTCGCCATACAAGTTTGCAACAGTTTCAAGTATGGCAGGCGGCTCCTCTTCACCATGTGGCTCTCCCCTTTGCGCCGCGCGCACTTGCCTCCAAAATTCGCAACAGCTTCAAGGATCCGTAAAGCTGAAGCCCCCAGAATTTGTATCTGGCACGAGTTAGGACTGCCAGGACGTAACGCACACGATTATTCGCGGTGTTGAAGTCCCCTGAGTGGTGTTCGGGCACAACTCAGGACTGCTAGGACGCAGCAGTCGAAGTGATTGGCGGCGGTGACGCCCCTTGAACAATGTTGGCACGATTTGGGGATACTCGAGCGGTCGTCTTTCAATGGAACACTTCCCGCAATGAAAACAACTTCCTGCAGGGACCTGCGAAGAAGGAAGGGGGAGGGGTGTATTGCAACATCGTTGATTCGCCGTGGGTTTACACTGGTCCTCTGCCTCCTGCCCCTTCTCCAGATCCTCCTCATCATGCTCCTCCGGTCCCTCTTCCAGCTCATCCTCCGTCCTCCCCCGACTTCTCCTCCTCCTCCTCTTCCTCCTCCTCTGTCTGCAATATCCTCCTTCTCCTCGTTCCCTCCCATATCGGCATAATCATGCATCCACCCCCTCCGTTGCTCCGTTTACCTTCATGTATCCTCGCTCCTCTGATATTTCTACTGCTGCTGCTGCTCCCAACCCTCATCCTGCAGATGCTGCGGTTCATGATCAGCCCCACCCTCCTGTTCGCCGTTCCCTCGGCCTCAACCCTCCCTCCCTCCCCCCATTCCTCGTTCTCTCCTCCTCCTCCTCCTCTTCCTCCTCCTCCTCCTCTCTCACCATCTCCTCCCTCTCTCCGTCTCCCTGGTTAGCAGGCTCTAAACATCATCCTTCCCCACCATCTCCCCGCGCTTGACGGGGGGCGCACCGATGTCATCCTCCAAGCTGCGTCCGAGGCGCAGCCCGTCATTGGACCTCCTCCTCCTCCTCCTCCGCCTCCTCCTCCGCCTCCTCCTCATCCTCCTCATCCTCAGACTCATCCTCCTCTTCCACATCCTCCTCCTCCTCCTCCTCCTCCTCCTCCCTCTCGTGCTCGTGTTCGTGCTCCTGCTCCTGCTCCTCCTCCTCCTCCTCCTTCTTCTCCTCCTCCTCCTCCTCCTCCTCCTCCTCCTCCTCCTCCTCTTCCCTTCACTTCTCCCTCCCCTGCTCCTCCTCCTCCTCCTTCTTTTCTTACTCCTGCTCCTCATCCTCCTCATCCTCATCCTCCTCCTCCGCATCCTCCTCCTCCGCCTCCTCCCTTCACTTCTCCCTCCCCTGCTCCTCCACCTCATCCTGCTGCTGCTGCTGCTCCTCCTCCTCCCATTGCGTCTCCAAGTGCGAGGGGGCACTCGGGGCGAGTAGCGCGGGACAAGCTGCTCTACCCCGACGCCGTCGTATGTGTTCTTCAGAACGAAGCCCGAGTTGAGGAACTTGTTCCTCACCTCGGCCACGCGCGCGACCCACGAGGAGATCGCTCGGGCTGCACTCGGCCCTGACATTCCGCAGCTGATCCTCGCCCTCAGCGTTGGACTGCGGGAGGAGGATGATCAAGGACGAGGAGGCCGAAGGGGAGGAGGAGTAAGAGGAGGAGGATGAGGAGGAGGAGGAGGAGGAGGAGGAGGAGGAGAAGGAGGAAGAGGAGGAGCAGGAGGAGGAGGAGGAACTGTTGGGGGACTTCTGGGGACGTCTCGGGGGGCACCCAGAGATCAGGAGATCTGGCGACTGGACAAACACCTGCAACGCCTGGAGACCTTGACCTGGACGGGACAGGATAGGATGCAACGCTGCGGGTGGTCCCGCGCCCGTGCCCCCGTAGAGCTGTCGGGCTCGCTAGGTGAAATGATGGCGCGGCCAGTCCTCGCAATTAGCACTCACGGAGCCGCCCAGGCATGCGAGTGCACCCAGGTGTCGAGTCCAACGGCTTGGTTGACCAGCGCGCGTCCTCGCACTGCTGGGCTCGGCTCTGCGGCTGGCGCACCATTTCCTGCTGCTGATCACTCCAGCTGCGGCATCCGGATGCCTTGACCTGGCGACTAGAAAATAGCATGAAGCAAGCCATCAACGAGTGGACCAACGCCATGGAATAGACCCTGTCCTGAGGAACGGTGTTCAATAGAGGAATGAGAGAACCCGACGTTACAATCACCATGAATGTACCGAAGATCGAGCTTCGCTATATGCAACCATCTCGACTGTAGCACTCGCAGAACCAAGCCCAGGCGCGGCAAGGGGGGAGTGAAAGGAGTCATGCACACTGTCCTCGCAGTAAGGGGCACCAAGATCCACCTACTTCACAACCAACTCCGTCACTGCGAGTGTCCGAAGATAGCTCAGCACCCGAACGGATGTCGAATGGTCAGTGAAGAACCGTGAGGCTGCGGAAATTACATACAGAGAAAGCGCCGAGAGGGCCCGGAGGGCCGCAGCAAGGACGAACACTGACCTGTAAGGGTACACTGGGAGGGGTAGCACAGCATCATGCGGAAGACTGGTGTCAAGGTGTGGAAGATGGTTAACACGCGGAAGGCAGGAGAGCCCAGGATCGAGTCGAGAAGTCGAATCGGCGATCGAAATGAATCGGATCGGTGGAAATCAACGGCCGAGTAGGGAGGAGTCGAATCGGCGGAAATCGGCAAGCTAACAAGGACTCCATTGGTAGGTCGGAATCCAAGTTGGAACCCAAAGCCCGATCGAATCAGAATCGGAATGCATCGAAATCGAATCGAGTCGATCCTGAGGGATCGAAATGAGCCCTGGAAGGGCATCGCGAGGACCAGGGGTGGTGCCACTCGCCAGAGCCCTGCTCCTGGCGCCCGTGCGCAGTGACAAATGCGGCATCCCGTCGACACGAATCGAGAACGGACCACGTCGCTGCGAGGCGGGGATCTACCTGTATCCGCCACCTGTTGAACCGACGTCCTGGGACCCCGGCGGGCGGTGGACGGGGACGCATGTTGGCCCCAGGGGGCCAGAAGGTGTCCGTCTCCACCGCCTGCCGAGGTCCCCGAGCGTTGGTTCCCCGGGCGCTGGCTGTGGAGAAATCCCCGCCTCGGAGTCGCGCGTCGACCCCGCAGAGAGCTGGTCCGTCGCGCCCCCGAGCCCGCGCCATCGGAGCAGCTCGGCGGTGCCCTCCCGGCGTGGGCGGAGGCAGGTCGGAGGTGGGAGGCCGGAATGGAGTGGGGCTGCACACGGTTTTTCCTGCGGAGCAGGCCGCCCCCTTCGTTGTCCCTGGTGACGCACGCATCGCGGGCAACTGCAACACGCATCGAGCACTGCGGAACTGTCGGCCTTCGGCCGGAAAGCCCCCTGTGCAGGCACTCGACGCGAGACGAGGGGGCGCTATGACCGCCGAGCGGCCGAACGTGGTGTATATAGTGGTCAAGAGTTACACAGTTGCTGGGCGTGGGTCCGGGAACAACATCCAGGCAGGTGCTATAACTCTGAGCGTTGGGACCACCTGCTTGGAAGCCAGACGTGGTGCCCTTGAGCGTCGTGCACCCGATCCCTATCTCAACTGGCATGTTCTTTGCTCCTCTGGCCGACTTGTCCCTCTAGGTGGGGATGTACGTTGTTCCCTTCGGGTGCCGCAGCACCCATCCCGACCTGCGGGGCTGGGCTGGCGAGTCTTAGATACCACGGGCTGGGCCCTGACGCACCACACGGTCACCACCTCCTCTACCAGCGTGGGCCTTCGCGGTCTCACGCATCGTGTCTCCCGGTGGGGACGAAAGGGTCGGATAGCAAAAGGAAAGGTAGAGGATGGCGCCGGGAGGCGCCCATTTATCAAGGAATGGGCCCTACCCTTTCGTTCGGCCCGGGTCTCCCGAAACGCGCTGGCGCGATCGAGCCAGGCACCACGATATCAGCCGACAAAGCAGACCACCACCCACTGCCTCGTTACGGGAGCTGCGGCTTGAGCCAATGGCTACGGAGCAGCATGACAACGGTACAGTAGGCACATACGATAACGAATACTGCTGTAACACGTATTGGGGCACATTACGTGTCGATCCTTGCAGGTCCTAAGGTGCCCACGAGATTCTGCGGGTCCCTGGGGCCATCGGGTGACAAACAAAAACCGTGGGGCACCTGCTGTTAGACCGATGTGTTACGCCTACTGTAACGAAACAGCGGAGGGATGAGGAGTACTGACGAAGACCAGTTTGGGCCAAAGCAAGCAAGGTGACCCAGCCCCCTAGACGCGCATCGCACGTATCAGGCGCGTAAAGCAAACAATGTCTTGCAGCAGGGCTGAGTCAAAGAGTGGGAAAGGGGGGGGGCAAGGGAACCTGATGCCTGCCGCACAGCCAAGAGGCGGCTGGACGGGATGGCGCCTCGATGCAGAAGCCCTGGAAGGTGGCGGTGGTCTCCTGGCTCCGGCTCAGCTCGTACCTGACCTCCACGAGGTCGCCAGGCTGCACCTCTCTTCCGCCCCCTCCACGTTGGGCCACGCAGCTACGAGGCAGTCCGAGGGGACCCAAAGCTTTACATCGCAACTCTGACTACCTGCATCGACACCACGCACGACTGCTGGACGTGCTGCGCTTTCCAGGGGGCCGCCGCAGATGACATCCACGGTCCCAGGAGCAAAAGCCAGCTGCGCGCGCACACGCACACACACACACACACACACACACACACACACACACGCACACGCACACACACACACACATACTCACAGACGCACACGCGCGCACGACGCGCGAGCGCGCAAGCACAAGTGCCTGCGTCCGCACGCGCGTGCACGGAAACACACGAGCATTCCAAAAACCAGCTGGGTGTCTCGTTCGCGCGCGCGCTTCCGCGCTTCACGCGCCAGATGGCAGGCCGCAGGCAAAAGCGCCGCGGACAGCTGAAGCCTCTGGAGACAGACACGACGTGCAAGACTGTCGCGGGGAAGGCCGACTCGGCGAGAAGGTGGAGGGAGAACAGACAGCACCTTTGGCATGGGGAACGTGCGCTTCTGGCGCATCCGTTCCATCTCCTGCACGTGCAGGTGGAACATGATGTCCCGGCAGCGCTTGGGAGTCATGGGGTCGCCCGTCTGCTCGAGCGGCGGCCAGTTTCGCGCGACCACCTCGAGGCAGGGAACGGCGAGGGGCGTCCCCGGGGTCGCGCAGGGAAGCAAGGAAAGAGGCTTGAGGAATGACGTGGGGTGGAGCATGGTGGGACAGAGGCAAGGAGGGAAAGACCAGGTAACACAAGAAAGCGGAAGGAAATACTGTGCGGAAAGTCGGGTGGGAGGCGGTAGATGTGACCATGGGGAGGTAGATGTGCACCTCGTTCGTGGCTGATTGTTGCTCGTGCCGAAAATTATGCAGTTATAGCCACTCCTGGCCTCATGATGGTTACAAAAGGGCTGGAACCTTAATGGACAGAGGCGGAAAATGATCAGGCCCCTAGTGGAATCCAGCCTCCCCTGAAGAGCCACAAGTTGCCGACTCGCAGATTCAGAAAGGGAGGGACCCTCAAGTTGGTGTTGTGCTCCCTGCAGCTGCTAGCTCTCCTCCTTACTCTTGTTTTCCTTGCTCCCCTCGCCCTTCCTTCATCACCTCCTCCCACTCATCCTCCTCCTTTTTAGCCGTGTGCGCCGTCATTGAGCAGGGCCGGTTGCTTGTGAACGGTATAAGTGAGAAGGTTGAGCAGCAGCCCAACGAACATGTTGCAGACGGCAACTATGCGTAGAGCTGGAAAAGTGGGCGGCGCGGAGTGCCCCGGAGAGCCAAGAACAATTGCCTAGACAAGTCCATCTTCGCTGGCCGCTCGCTGCGGCCTCGGCCTCCGCCCTCTCCGGCCTTCCTCCTCATCTGCCGGACCGTGGTCCCACAGGGGCCTCTCTCGGAGGTGGACAGACCTCCCTTTAGCAAACCTCCCCTTAGTGAAAACGGCCTGGGACCGAAACCGACGGACCTGGACCCGCAAAAATGACGGCCGCGACGCCCTCTCGCGAACCGAAAACGGCCAATTCCTTAATCGACGTGTCAGGGTAGGAGGTCTGTCCACCCCCGACTCTCTAGAGGCCCGAGGGCGACATCCGAACCCTCTCCCAACCATAACCGTCGGTTCTCACGAATCGATGGGGGGCGGGGGTGTAGGGTTCGGATTTCGCCAAACGTTCGACGAGTCCCCCTGCCGCCCATCGAGTTGCCTGGATCGATCATCGGCGAGGGTAGGGTTCGGACTTCGCCGCCGAAAGGATGAGGGGCAACGTTACGAGGGAAACTGGATTGGGACGCAGCGGGACATTACTGCGTGCCTCGGTTGGGGACGCACGACCGACCCGAACATGAGAGAGCATGATGCACCGCCGCTTTACTGTGGAAAATCCCCCCTCTTCCTCCGGAACCGGGGGGTCCTCCACCCCCTCGAAATTCCCCCCCCCCTGCTGGACGCCCCCCCCTCTTTCCCCGGCACCCCCCCCCTCCTAAGGCCTCCCCTCCCCCCCCCCTTCCGGAAAACCTGTGGGGTCACCATAGACTGGTTCGAGCCCCCCCTCCCCCGCTCCCCCCTCCAGAAAGCCAGAGGGGGGATATACCATCTCGAAACCCCCATTCCCCCTCGCCGCCGGCAAACGATTCCCGCTCCTCGGGACAATGGGACAGAGGGAAAACCGGGGGGGGTCACCACCAGTTCGAATCCCCCCCCCCTCCGGAAAACCGAGGGGGGCCACTACGGGTTCGAACCCCCGCCACCCCCCCCCCTCCAGAAAACCGGGGGGGGGGGTCACTACCGGTTCGAACCTCCCCCCCCCTCACCGCTGGCAAACGACTCCCGAATCCCAACCACCGTCCGCACCACATCCCCCACCGCTGTCCTCAGCACCACCGTCCACACCACCAGTCCCCACTTCTCCCACCACCGTCCCCACTGTCGCCACCAGTGCCCCCACCACTGTCGCACTGTCCCCACTGTCCCCACCACTGTTCCCACCATGGTCCCACTCTCCCCACTTTCCCCACGGTCCCCACCACTGTCCCACTGTCCCCACTGTCCCCACTGTCCCACTGTTCCCGCCGCTGTCCCACTGAGCTGTCCCACTGTTCTCACCACTGTCCCCACCACTGTCCCCACTGTACCCCTGTCCCACCACCGTCCTCACTACCGCCCTCACAACTATCCCCACCACCACCGTCCCCACCACTGTCCCACTGTCCCCACTGTCCCCAACACTGTCCCACTGTCCCCACACCACTGTCCCCATCACCACCGCCCCCACCACTGTCCCACTGTCCCTACCACTGTCCCAGTGTCCCCACTGTTCCCACCATTGTCCCCGCTGTTCCCACCAGTGCCCTCACCAGTGTCTCACCGTACCCACTGTCCCCACCATTGTCCCACCACGGTCCCACTTCCCCCATTGTCCCCACTGTCCCCACAACTGTCCCATTGTTCCCACCACTGTCCCACTGTCCCCACTGTTTCCGCAGCTGTCCCACTGTGCTGTCCCACTGTCCCCACCACTGTCCTACTGTCCCCACTGTCCCCACAACTCATCCCACTGTATCACTGTCTTCACAACTGTCCCCACCACTCCCGTCCCCACGACTGTCCCATTGTCCCCACTGTCCCGACCACTTTCCCGCTGTCCCCCTCACCACTGTCGCCATCACCACCGTCCCCACCACTGTCCCACTGTCCCCACCACTGTCCCACTGTCCCCATACCACTGTCCCCACCACCACCGTCCCCCTCACTGCCCCAGTGTCCCACCACTGTCCCACTGTCCCGAGGCGCGAGAACCTTTTGCCGGCAGCGAGGGGGGGAGGGGGGTTCGAACCGGAAGTGAAGTGACCCCCCCTCTTTTCATGATGGACGGCGGGGTGGGAAGGGGCGGTTCGAACCGGTAGTGAGCCCCCCCCCCGGTTTTCGAAGGGGGGGGGGGGGGGGGGAAAGACGGGTTGGGAACCCCCAGTGATCCCCCCCCAGTTTTCCGCTAGCAGCGGTAGAGCACGCTCTTTCGAACACTACCACAAAATCTTGCAGCACATCGTCTCCCGAGCGGTATGGCGAGGAAGCACCCACCAAGGAGCGTGCACGTCGTCCTGGCGTAGCCTACGCACACCTATAATAGAAGTATGTTTGGGCAACGCTGGTTCGTTCGTGGGCCCTGGAAACGACAAGGCCGTACTTTTACTCGTTCCGTGTTGCAATTGATTTACCATTTCCCGCGCCGTTTTTGCTGACGCTTCCAGCGCCGTGGTCTTACCGTTTTCGTTTCCCCCGGTAGGGGTCTGGCCCAAATCACCATTCATTTTGTCACCAGATCCGAATTGTGCTCGAGCTGGTTCGGGGCGTTTTTTTCCGAACTGCGCACGCCGTTTCGGTGAACCGTTTTAAAATTTCGGTGAGCTGTTTTTGGGCCTGTTTCATAACCTAGAGGCACTAGTCTGGAAACGGTAGAAGCAAACGGCCCGGCTCCAAGGTCGATGCGTCCCCCTCTCCCGAGCCCATCTTAGAGGAGCGAAGAATTGCATAAACACAACTTCTCAACTTCTCTGAGGTCCGCGCGGATTTCTTGGATCGGCGCTGGACCTCTCCCTGGCGCGCGGAGCGCGCCATGAGCGGCGCCGGAGGCACCGCCAGGGGGTCCCAGCGCAGATCCAAGAAATCCAAGCAGAGCTCGGAAAATTCATGCTTATGCCGTTTTGTGTTCCACCACCTGAGCCTACAATCGGGCTGCTGAAATAAGAAACGGTAGATCAGGAACGAAGCCCCATTTCTGGCACCAAAAGCGCCTGCGTGCAAACGGCCATGGAAGGACCTGAGGAACATCGAGCCCCCTCCGAACTCAGCCTGCTCCTTATGATTTCAGCGTCTTGACGTTACCACCTCCTGACGCTGCCGCGGAAGAGAAGGCCCGCGCTCTCTGACAGTGGCGTTTGGTCGGGGATCTTCTGACCCGGGTCAATCCAGACCCGGGCCAGCAGGAAAGCAAAAACTGCAATGCAGGACAAAAATTGCCACGCAGGTCTTCGCAAAACTGGGGCAGCCAATATGCGCGGCCGCCCCGCGGCCACAAGCGGCTCGCTAACCCGGGTCAGCCAGAGGGGGTCTTCGCAGGATCCTGCAGGATCTGGCGCCCTGGCTGACCCCCGTTTGCACTGAACCCCGTATCGAGGCTCCCGATTTGGGCCATAACTCGGGCCTCCGGCGGCCGTTCCCGACGATCCGGACACCCCCGGAACGCTCTCGGCGAGGCGCAGCTGCTGGAAAGCAGCCCGAGGCTGGATAAGCGCCAGAAGTCGACGAAAACGTTCGACAACCTCGATCGGCGGCGAGCGAGGGGGGAAGAAACGAGAAGGGGCGGGCATTCTCGGAAGGCTCGGCAGCCCTCTGGCCTTCCGAGGAAGTTGTCCGAGCCTTCCCCGAGGACGGAAAGAAAACTTCCTCGAAGGCGCGAGGGCTCCCGAGGAGTCCCGCCGCCTTCTGGTAGGGCCCTCTCCTGTACTGACTTTCCCCACTGGGTCGCCGCCGACTCGGACCTCCCCTCCCAGCGCCGCCGCGGAGGCGAGGCCAGGCGTGGCTGGAGAAGTGCCCCTGGCCCCAAGGTGCCCCCAGAACCTTCTGGGTGGCCCAGACGGCCTCCAGAGCACCCTCACGAGGCCCAGAGGGCCCCCGGGGCTCCCACGTGGAGCGACAAGCGGGGGGCACCTTCCCAGACATCCGACGCCTCGACTTCTTCGAAACACGGGCCCCCGACCTCCCGACCACTTCCCCGGAGTCGTTTTTGGACGGCCCGAGGCCCGGCGAGGGCCCCGAGAGGTCGAACACGACGAGAAACCTCCGCCCCGAGTTTTCTCCGAGGCGCCCGACGTCTGGCATGGGCCAGGGGCACCTGCAGCAGACCCCGACGAGGGCGGGGAGGAGGAGGAGGAGGAGGAGGAGGAGGAGGAGGAGGAGGAGGAGGAGAAGGAGGAGGAGGAGGAGGAGGAGGAGGAGATAGAGGAGGAGGAGGAGGAGGAGGGAGGAGGAGGAGGAGGAGGAGGAAGGAGGAGCGGGCGCGCGCCGGGTTGTCGATGGTGTAGACGCTCT